AAATCACTCTATTTCTGCATATGAGTATATGTGCTAAGCCAGATCAGTGTTCTAAGAAATATTTCCCTGACCATTTTTCCCAGGGCCCAGCTCAGAGTATATGTCTTACAGGGCAGGCTAGGACCCAGCTCTAAATGGAGTATATGTTCTAGCCGACTCAGGACCCAGCTTTAAATCCGTAAAAGTATATGTCTTGGGCAGATTAGGACCCAGCTGCAAATCAGTATATGTCCTAATCGACTTTCCCCAAGATCCAGCTTTTCAATACGAGTATATGCCCTGGGAACCGCTCAGCACCCAGCTCTTCGCAGATAAAAAAATACAATATATAGAGCAGTTGTCCCACACTTCCATAACCCCCCACAAACCTTGTGTTCTTATGCGTGTCGTTATATTAAATATCTCAATATATATATATATTTATTAAACGGTGAGGACATTAATCAGCTATTTGCATGCTTAATTAATGTACTTGCTTTTTTTGCATATGTCAGCAATATGCAAATTAGGTAAAGGCATTAATTAAGCATGCGAAAGGCTGACTTTTTAGAACAAAATGAATAGTTAAAGGGCTTAAGGTGGCTCCCTACAGTTATTCTTGTTTAAGCAATAATTCCGTAAAACAGGCTTATTCGTGCAGAACGCGAATTCTTTTCGACTTGGTGGCAATACTGGTCACCTAAGGAATATTTCGAACTAGATTTCGGCGATGTCAATGTTCCCATGGCAACATGACGACAGCATAAAGCCTTCCAATTTAACCCATAAATGTGCCGCTATCTCAAAAACGATGTCGGTGACCTATCTTTTTTATTTCATATATCAATAAGGAATGATGCTTTGCAACTGTGGTGAAAGTTTAAAAAAATTCTGTAGTGTGTGATTTTTTTAAAAGCGAAAAATTTATTGCGAAATTTCCACACTACAGATTTTTTTTAAATTTGAAATTTATAAAATTTACCGCAAAATAAATTCGTGGTCAAAATTTGAAGATAGGTCACCGATGAAACTAATGAGTAAAATGCAAATAAAGTTAGAAAATAGCCTCGTGTAACTCGAGAAATTTTCCTATTGAAAAGCGTCGCTGACTTGTAAAAGATTGTACGCGGGCGCAGAACGAGTTTTCATTCAGCAAAATCGAGGCGCAATGTTGTTTTTACTGTTTTGTTTTTGTCAACTTTTCGATTTATTTGAGTGCTATGGACAGCCAAGGATTATTGTGAAGGATTAAATCGATGAAAACAAGGTTGAAGCTAATTGAATCCTGCCGTTTACTCAATCTATGAGCTGTAACAGCCTATTAACAGGTGGACGTGTTTTTTTGTTTCATGTTTGGTTTTGTACTTTTTGCTAAAAATGAACAATTAGGCTAAGAAACTGAAATATTTTTCTGTTTACATATAATCACTTTAATCTTGTAGAAATACGACTAAAAGCGTGAACGTTTTCTTGACAAAGTAAACAACTTTTTAAACGTTTGTATGCAATTTTGCAAATGTTTTACAGTTGAGTCAGTTGACAGTGTATAAAAAAATTTAAAAATATTGTTTCGTAGCTATATTTTGGTCTAGTGATATTCGTATCATATGTAGAATTGCTGTATAGACTCGCAAGTGATTTGGCACTCAAAACGAAGTATTATTCAACGCTTTTTTCATTAGAAACCTTTCAGAAATAGCTTTATTTTTAAAAAAAGCATGGTCAATTTTGTTTTGTTTTGATCATGCAGTTGCATGGGATAGTTCACGTACTTGTCCCGCGAACATCCCGCTCGGAACTGTAGGGAGCCTCCTTAAACTAAACCAAATTGTCTGAAATTTTGTACAGTAATTAAAAATCCGACAAGTTTTCAATCTATTAACTCAAAATATGATTACAGCTTTTAAATTTTGTGCGCGAGCCATTTTTAGTTTGTTGGGAAAGACCCCCCCCCCCTGGTTCACAGAATTTGAGTTCGAGAAATTTTTTTCATTATTTTACATTATAAGTACCCAATGAAGCTATTTATATAAAAAACAGATACAAATAGGTGTTTTGCGAAATTGAGAGCAATTTCAAATCTGTTCAGTTTTTTTTTATACACCCTGTGTAATTATATACATATAAACTTGTGAGTTCGATAACTGCTCTCTGTAGGTCATGATCAGTTCGTTAGAGCGCTGCACCGAAATCGCAGTGTCGCAGGTTCGATTCCTGCGAGGGTCATATAGTTGTATTTTTGTAGATGTTCCTGGTTAGGTCTAATAAATGTATATAAATTTCCATTCGTTAATTTCCATCTACAATACCCATCAAATATTTTATTCAATCGAGTGAGATGCCAGCATCTTGATATTTAAGCTTAATCTTGATATTTAAGCTTATTCGTAACGAATAACCTGTCAATCCGTCAATTAGGTCAATATATCAACTATGCTAATCAATAAATCAACAAAGTCATGAGCAATGAAAGAAAACAATTAATTAATTCAATCAATTTTTTGTAATCTCGAAATTTTTGTTCTTCATATGGACTCGAATAATTGGGTTAATTCGTCACTGGCAAAAAATATTTATAATAAAAATTTTGGTTAAAAAACCTAAATATTAACCTAATTGCATCTATCAGTCATTTCGTATTTCATTTTCCTCCATTATTACTTTGAATTAACTCAAGTGAAAAACTACATACGTCACATTATTGGCCTTTTTCACGCAGGTTTGTGGATAAAAATTGAAGGATCAGGTATGAAACAAATTGACACAGGAATAACCAGCAAAGTGTGGGCAGTTGACAATAATGGAGAAACATTCAGTCTGGGGTCAGATCAGAAATGGAAAAAGATGAATTTTCGACTCACTCACGTTAGCGCTGGTGGATCTGGTAAGTTTGTGTGACTGATTAATAAAAAAAGAATTAAATTGGCACTTAAATTGCGGGCAAAGACTAATTTCCCCGGGCCAACAACTGGACCAGCCTCCAAATAAAAAATGAAGTAAATATGCATAGACATGTACCTCTTAACTCGTCTCCCCGAATGCATGCAGGATTCTGCCATTCAAAATTCCCCCGGGGGGGAGCATGCGTGGAACCCCCTAACGTTCCCTAGTACTGTACGATGGAAATTTTAGTTATATATCGTCGCGAGCACCTACAGTATAAGTCTCTCGACAGCCGTGCGGATTAGGCAATTGCTATATTTAAAAAAAAACAATATCAAGTGTCGTAAATTTTCTGTTCTCGTAAATTTTCTGACTTCAAAAGTGGCTCAATATCTATCCCAGTTTTGTGACCAGTGTTACAAAATGTAGTAAGCATATTTGGCGAGAGAGATAACGAAAAGAATCGAGCAATTTGTCAACGATACCCTTAACTATAGGTTAGATTGGCTAGGTAGAGAAAAAGTTACGTGATTATAATTAAGGCATTAAATAAAGTAAATACATTGAAATTTATTCTGACTAGTAGCCATGTACGATAGTATTCCCAAAATATATAATCACGTAGCCAAGAAACCACGCAGCCAAATCCATCAGGTGTGTGCCCAGTTAGCCACGTATCTCTAATATTTAACAATTATTCGCCGAAGGCGAAGTGATTGCCGGTGAATATTCACCGAGACGAAGTCGAGGTGAATATTCACCGTAATCACTGAGCCTGAGGCGAATAATTGTTTTAGTATAAATTTTTAATGAATAAAACAAAATATCCGAATATCAGTTCAATTAAATTTCAGAAATAAAACTGTTTTCGGCCTGTTCACTAATAGTGTTGCAGTGTTTCTTCTACGCAAACGCTTTCAAAATGGCTTCTTGTGTGACTTTATTGCTTTATTGCAAAGTTGTTTTTCTCGATTTCTGCATGGAAAATAAACACAATAAACGGAACTACTCTTTCACCAGACTTAGAACTAAAAATAGTTTCTGTTTACAATTAATTTCTTCAGGAAATGGCTGAGAATTTTGGTAAAACGAAATGTAAAACTATATCGTTCGAAATAAAGTTTTAATATAAACGCTTTTTACTTTACAAGTTTCGAAAAAACAATACAGCGGTCAGAACACCATACAGCACAATGAAAACATAACATATCAAAAGAAATAGTGTCGTACAAATTGGGAAATCTATAGCATACAAAATAAAATTTATTTTAAAGAATATCACGGCAAGGTTTTCCCCAAAAGTCGGGATGGTTTTTGCTATTTGTTTGAAGTGAATGCTTCGGAGTTTTAGATAAGTTTTAAATTGTCCGTGAATATGTTTGACACAGTAAAATAATAAAGGAATCCTACCTTTCAAGTTAAATACAACATTTTGTGCTTCTTTCGTTTTCTGGGGACGATTTTGTCAATATTTTGTCGATTTTGAAACCAAATTTGCCGAATCATTCTTTTTGAAAAGCATTATTTACTTCCCAGTTGGTAAATAATGCCTCAGATTTACTAGTCAGCTAGCCAATCAGAACGCGCGAAAGCTCATTTGATATGCAAAATTTATTCTAATCACGAATAGCATGTAATTGAATATATCATATAGCCAAGAAGGCAGAGTACAGCCAATGAATGTTGTTCACTCTAGTGAACTATGTTGCCCCCCCCCCCCCTTCATACCAGTGAGAGTACCTTCTGTCTAAAATAAGCAAAATCGAAAGATTAACTTACTTTAATGTGTTTTGTATTCCCATCATCACAACTTTGTCTAGTGGATGAAATATATCAAACATTGTGTCTGAAGATGCCAAGAATCAATCCCCATGCAGAGGCTCAAAATTGCAACTTTTTCCAGTTGACCACCTCCTAATCGAGCGGAAGCCTTTCGCCGTGATGTTAAGTCGGTTTTCCATTTCGCCCGTATCGTACCGAAACGTACTGGTGGGCATGCGCAGATTGAACACGTACTTCCGGGTGTATTTGCGTGCCAAAATGAAAAGTTCGTCGCAAGCCAACTTTTTGGCGTACTGCGGAAGTACTAACCAATCAACATTCACGAAATTGTGAAATTTAAAAACGTTTTTGATACATTTCGGTACGGTACGCTTAAAGTGGAAAACCGGCTTTAGTAACCAAATTACTCTCCGTCCAAGGGCCTTCGCTCGAAACGTCGAAGTTTTACTTGTATTTTTCACTTGACGTCACAAGGCTTAATGCCTGCGAGGAATGCTGGTATTAGTAGTCATCGCCCGGGAAAAATAAACAATTCAAAAGAGCCAGTATCAATATTTTCCCGGGCGATGACTACCAAGACCAGCATTCCTCGCGGGCATCAAGCCTTGTGACGTCATTATGCATAAGGTCTATTGCTAACCATCTCAATTTTGTTGGAATAATATACTTATTTTTCTTATTCTCGCGATCGATTGTACCGTCCTATTTATGTTCCTTTACATTGATTTAACTTTAGGCGTTTGGGGTGTGGATACAAACAATAACGTGTTTCGTCGTGTCGGCGGCGGCAATTGGAAACGTATACCTGGTCTTAAACTGAAGCAGATCGATTCTGGCCCACAAGGAATTGTCCTAGGGGTAACCAAGAGTAACCAAGTTTATTGCCGCAGTGGGAATAAATGGAAAATTATTAATCGCCGTTTGAAGTACATCAGTTGCGGATCCACGCTGGGAAGTACGGGATGCTGGGGAATAAGCCCTGGTAACCGCGTTTATTACCGGGAAGAAGTTACTCGTAAAAATTGTGCTGGAACAAGTTGGGTAAGTTAACTAATTGATCTTGAAATAAAGTAGGAAATAAACTCCAAATAGAAATTCCATGATCTTGAAACTTAATATCCAAGTATGACGCAATGCGCAACTGCAGTGATCAGTTCGAATACAGACAAACAGGTTGAATACATACATACAGGTTGAATACATGAGGCGAAGCGGAGTGTTTCTAACCAGGTTATCTGTATTTAGAAATCAGAGGAAGAACATTTGCGAGTGTTGAATATAACTTCTCAACCGAATCAATATTTTAGGAGAAAATGAGTTTTTAAACTGACGAAAAATGGCTGTAATCTTCCTTTTATTTCTAAATACGGAATTAATATGCATTTCTTTTGAATTTCCTTTATGAATTATTAATGAGTTTGAGAAGGCAGTTCTCTTTGGGACACTTGTTTTTAACCTCGTAACAGAATTTTTCCTCCGAATTTAAAGAAGAACAAAACGAACTCGAAATTATCTATTGTCAAACAAACGTAATGCGTACTAATTACGTACTTTTGTATGTAAGAAATTTCTATTTGTCCATTTGGAAGGTAACAATTGACGGGCGCATGAAACAAATTGAAGTGGGCGGTAACGGTGATGTCTATGCCGTGGATTCCGATGGAAAGTTATATGTCCGAGAGGGTGTGAGTTCAAGTAATCTCTACGGTTCAGGGTGGAAGTTTCTGCGCGGAGCATCGAGTGTAACAACTGGATGGTCTGGGCAATATTTGTTGGATAACGGAATAGTTTATCGTTTATCAGGTAAAATAGGAAAATTGCGGTTTTGGGAGGGCCGGACTATTGGACATGTGTGATGTTGTACCATTGGTATAACCAACGCAGTGATTTTGAAATAACTCCTCTTTATATAAATTTATTAAATTTTTCAAACATCACTTGAAGTGTATATCATTAATTAATAAAAATTGCACCTTCCCGCCTATACTAATAAAACGTTATCCAGAATTGCTTCCAAATTGAAAGCTGTACTACATTTAATTTTACTATTACAACTGAGTTGCCACAAGTAAAAAAAAAGATGACAATAAGTTAGACAACATATGTAAAAATAAATTATTTTCAGCTTCAGTTTGTTCTATACATGAATAATTTATTTTTCTAGGTGACGAGGGCCTGTTGCGTACATCAGAAGGAGATCTACTGCCCTTAGATACGAGTTGTAAGGCGTCAGCCTGCATACAGGCTTGCTTTCTGGCCGGTGATATGCGCGCAAATGACCAGCAGGGACTGACAGCATTCCACACTTTGTTTATGCGTGAGCACAACCGGATTGCTAAAATCTTGAGAAATTTGAACCGACACTGGGATGGGGAAAAGATTTTTCAAGAAACCAGAAAAATTATTGGCGCCATCATACAGAAAATTGTCTATGTGGACTACCTACCAATCCTTCTCGGGCCTGGTGCTTTACCACGTTATTCAGGCCACTTGGACAATGTTAACCCAGGCATAATCAATGCATTCACACTTGCATACAGACTTGGGCATAGTATGATTAGATCAAAGTTTGATTTACTTAATCCAAATTTCGATCCAATCGCACCGGCTGTAAACCTCAGATTTCTGTTTTTTAACAGCAGTAATATTAATACATATGGTATCGAGCCATTGCTATTCGGGCTAGCTGGCAATGTTTCTGAAAAGGTGGACACACATCTGACCACGGAAATTACGGAACATTTATTTGAACGCGGAAACAGCCATGGAGAGAATCTTGCTGCATTGAACATACAACGCACGCGAGATCACGGTCTTCCAGGCTATAACGAATACAGGAAACTATGCAAGCTTGGAGACGCGAAAACGTTTGAAGACACTTCAAGCGAAATTCAGGATCGGGAAAACAGGCGCATCTTGAAAGAATTATACAATAATGACCCCGGTCTAGTTGAATTGTGGGTGGCTGGTATTGCAGAAACTCCTCTTCCAGGCGCTGTTGTCGGTCCAACATTGCGTTGTGTTGTCGGCGAACAGTTTAAGCGTGCCAGAGATGGTGATCGATACTTCTACGAAAACGAGGGTATTTTCACTCCACGTCAAGTACAAGAAATTAGGAAAACTAGCCTGTCCCGACTTTATTGCGATAATTTAAAAGACATCGTGTCCATTCAAAGGAATGCGTTTAAATCTTCAATTAAGCAACCTCGACCTTCATGTGGGGAAATAGCAGGATTATCGCTATGTGCCTGGAAGGGTAAGACAATTATTAATGACCTGTAATTGCTAAAATATTAAGGTTAGTCTATCTTTATCTGAAAAGCGTAATTTTCCATTGACAACCCAGCAAATCATTTATGAGGTCCAGAAACATTTAGGTCATATCCTCATGTTAGATTTAAGGTACTGTATAGAGCAGTGATTATGGACATGATGAAAGAAAATCAAAATAAACACCTGTCCTAAACATGATAAGTATTACCGAAATTTATTGCACCTTACGTTTAGGGGCCATACACATAATTCGTGACGATTACGGTGGTATAGGGGTGTGCTTGAGGCTTGAACAATAGTCACATTGGGGGGGGGGGGGATATCACTTTGTGGATTGTCACTTGACGAAGAGATGACAATATATTGTGGAATCAGTCCAAACCATGATAAATGGTATATTTTGAACTGGATGACGTATTTTCATACCTGGAAGTGACACTCTCCTTCACAGAGCCTCACGAATTTTTAGTCAAATTACGTAATAATACTGGCAACAGTGGTAACATAGGGACAGTTGAGGTCGCTTATAAAGAGAATATTGTAACATTTTGATAATCAACCCAAACATTTTGGGCAATACAAATTGCAAAATATGCACAGTTCTGGGCGTTCTTGGCGGGTTAAACAGCCTAGCTTGTCATGGGCATGCATGTGGTAATCGTAATCCCATGGTCAGAAATCCCAGACGTAACTCATTCTACTTTCTTTCTAAGTAAACATGACTTTGAAATATAACTTCAACTGTAAACAGTCGCTGGTTGTATAACAAAGTAGGTCGTTTGTATTTTGCCGAAAACAATGCATCTTTTAGGAGGTTAATTTTTACAACATTTATGTTTTTAATTGGATATAAAAATATTGCACTAGGAATAAATCTAAAAAACAGGGTATGCAGTAACTTCAAATTGGATAAAATAGCACTATATACTTCTACAGATCATATTCTTAAACTTTTTTTTATGGTGAACTGCTTGTAGCTACTTCAGTGTGGACAAACCCTTCTAGTGTCTCAAAATAACTAAAGTGCTTATGACATTAAAATTTACCTAATCTATTCTTGATTGCATTGCAAAGACCACTTAAAATGACTATGTACCTTTTGTAGAAAATTTGTAGCTCTCTTCCTTCCCGAGATATTCAACTCTTTTGATATTATGCAAATGTCATCAGTATGACGTCACGCTGCATCATTAATTTTCAAATTGGTTAAATATTCCATACACAGATACGGAGCTAGGTCTAATGATTAATTAGTTTATTCACATATACAAGAACAATTTTAACAATTTGTTATCATTACCGCACAAGATAAAAACTCTGTTATTATATAGGAGCTCCGAATATGTAGTGTGATGTCACACTGATGATACTGTATTTGTATATAAAAAAACGTTGAATATCTCTCGGGAGGGGAGAGAGCTTCAAGTTTCTACCACAGAGGTTATACAGTCATTTTAGGTGATTTTGGCAGTGCAATCCCATGCAAGAAAGAATTGGGTGAAATTTTGTGTTATAGTTTTTCATGTTTTCGTTTAAAGGCGCAGTTCAGCCTTTTGAATGATGCCGGTTTTTCAGGCGCATTTCAGCCCCTTTAATTGAAAAATCTAACTATGAAAATCACTTAAGCACAATTCAAGATCAGAAAACTTGATGGTTTAGCATTTTAAAACATTTTATTGTTTAAAAACCATTGATTGTCCTAGCTAGCCTTTTCAATTAAAAGGGCCGAAATGCGTCTTAAAAACCATCGATCAAAAGGCTGAACTGTGCCGTTAATAATTAAAAATTATGATCGTGGTTGCACGTTTCATCTCGCCTTAATACTGTTGGACGATGACTTAATTATACGAAAATGCAAAGAAACACCGTCACCTAAGCTTGCACAAATTAACATAAATACAAAAACGTAACTCAATTACTTCCGTTTAGTTTCTAGACCACCATATCTTGATATCGCCTCCGCAATCTTAACTTACGCGCTCATTTGCCCTCATCAGAAACTTCATATAAGTATCTGGGAGGAGAGAGGGTTAAAATTCCCGAAAAGAAAATCTCCAAAGACTTGCAAACCAGTGGCGTAGCCAGAACGATAATTGGGGGGGGGGGCATATTCATATATTCGTGTTCTGCTTTATTAATTTCTTTTGAAATCAATTGTTTTTATGGTATGTGAACACGAATATATGAATATGCCCCCCCCCTCAATTATCGTTCTGGGTACGCCACTGTTGCAAACGACCTTGCGCGTGGTTGCTGCTCTCAGCTCTCGCAATGAACCTGTTTGGACATCCAACTATCAGATACGCTGGGCCACTGGTATTCTGCTAACGTATGGTTTTGTAATTATTTAGAGTGCTTAACTGGCGAACCCCATTTTAATCCAAATACCCGCAAATGTGTATGTAGATGCTCAGAGAAAACAAAAGATTGTCCCAGTAAGTGGAATTTTTTAATTACTTGAGGTATTGCACGGTCTCCGTTTTTTTTCTCTAATAGTACTATTTGCGATACTTCCGTGCAGTAATCAAATAGCTTGCGTGCAGCATCAACTCGACTAACCCTTCAACTATTGTTCAATCGAGTGAGATGTCAACAAAATCGTGATATTTAACAAACTAGCAGACTAAAATACCACACTACCAGACAAACTAACAGACTAACAGGCGAACAAACTAACAAACTAATAAACTAAGAAACTCACTAACAACCTAACAAACTAACAAACTAACAAACTAACAAACTAACAAACTAACAAACTAACAAACTAACAAACTAACAAACTAACAAACTAACAAACTAACAAACTAACAAACTAACAGACTAACAGACTAACAGACTAACAGACTAACAGACTAACAAACTAACAAACTAACAAACTAACAAACTAACAGACTAACAAACTAACAAACTAACAAACTAACAGACTAACAAACTAACAAACTAACAGACTAACAAACTAACAAACTAACAAACTAACAAACTAACAAACTAACGGAGTAACGGACTAACAAACTAACAAACTAAAAAACTAAAAAACTAACAAACTAACAAACTAACAAACTAACAAACTAACAAACTAACAAACTAATTTAACAAACTAACGGACTAACAAACTAACAAACTAACAGACAAACAGACTAAAAGACTAACAAACTAACAAACTAACAAACTAACAAACTAACAGACTAACAGACTGAAAGACTAACAAACTAACACACTAACGGACTAACGGACTAACAAACTAACAAACTAACAGACAAACAGACTAACAAACTAACAAACTAACAAACTAACAGATTAACAGACTAACGAACTAACAAACTAACAAACTAACAGATAAACAGACTAACAGACTAACAAACTAACAAACTAACAAACTAACAAACTAACGGACTAACAAACTAACAGACTAACAAACTAACAAACTAACATACTAATAAACTAACAAACTAACAAACTAACGGACTAACAAACTAACAAACTAACAAACTAACAAACTAACAAACTAACAAACTAACATACTAACAAACTAACAAACTAACAAACTAACGGACTAACAAACTAACGAACTAACAAACTAACAAACTAACAAACTAACAAACTAACAAACTAACAAACTAACAAACTAACAAACTAACAAACTAACAAACTAACAAACTAACAAACTAACAAACTAACAAACTAACAAACTAACAAACTAACAAACTAACAAACTAACAAACTAACAAACTAACAGACTAACAAACTAACAGACTAACAGACTAATAAACTAACAGACAATCAGACAAGCAGACAAACAGACAAGCAGACAAGCAGACAAACAGACAAACAGACAAACAGACAAACAGACAAACAGACAAACAGACTAACAGACTAACAGACTAACAGACTAACAGACTAACAGACTAACAGACTAACAGACTAACAGACTAACAGACTAACAAACTAACACGCTAACAAATTAACAAACTAACAAACTAACAGATGAACAGACTAACACACTAACAGATAAACAGACAATCAGACAATCAGACTCACAGTCAACCTCGTACCCAGGTTATTTTCTCTTATGCTCGGTACACAGCCGCCTGCTGGTACGAGGATGACTAACAGTCTAACAGTCTAACAGGCTAACAGACTAGCTTGTTAACAGTCTAACAGACTAAAACTAGCTGACTAACAAACTCGCACAGCAAATATAAAGCAATGCCGAACTTCGTTTGTGCACCGCAATATGCTTTAGTTTGGATGCGTTGAGACTGAGAGACTCAGGCAAAGGAAATTTATATTCGTGATGTAATTATCGTCAGCGTGAACTATGTGAACGCCGCCTTTTTGAATGTCAACAACACTAACTGTACATTTGTGACGGGCACAATGTAAGCATTTGTTGATTCTCATGTTTATAGTGAAGTTTTATTTAAGAATTCTTTATATTTATGCATCGATCACACAACATGTCGGCCTTATAGAATATTGTTTGTCCATAGCCTATCGACATGGCTTGTTTAATAGACGACCGCATTGGTCTGGTGTAACATGATGATGTGAAATATTTAACAAGCTAGCTTGTAAAGCTCATTATATCATAGTAACATATCCATAAAATTTTGTATTGAAATAGGATCAGTATATCTTTGTGCATTTGTAGTTTTTCTTACAATGGATAAGAATCAAATGTTCGTTTGAGATTATCAATTTAAATTTAATCTAAATACGTTTTTCACGCCCAGTCGAGACCACGCCCAGCGCCGACAACGCCCCGGCCTCCAAAAATTTTTGACTGAGGTACGAAAAATCCTAGATCCGCCCCTGATTTGTGTTGATCATATCAATATGGCTATACATGTAAGCTAAACCTAGCACACGCTCTATCCATATCTTAGCATTTAATTGGCTGATTATGATTTCATGATATGGAGATAAAATCGTGCAACAGTACTTGTACTATTGCATGCCCAGCCGTATGTTTTTGTTTTGTATTTAATTCACTAAAATTGATTTATTTTCAATATTTTGGTGTATTTATAAAACAAATGAAGAATGTTTTCATTCGTGCAATAGTTATACAGTCATTTTAATTACACGATCTTTCGGTGAAAGATGAAAATTCCACCTAATGAAACTGTTTTTACCATTACACTCAGAAACATTCATTTTGTGTATAATATTTTACAATATATGATAATTATCTACAATATGTGTAAATAGCAACATGTTTTATAATCTTACTGACCATGTTTTATAATCTTACAGATAAATGGACAGATGCGTCTGGGTATTCTGCACTACCATTTTCTATATACTCTGAAAGGGGTCGTGGATATAAACCATCTAGATTTGTCGACTTGAATGGAGATGGCCTTTTGGATTTCGTGTATCACATATTAACCCCTAAGAAGTCGTTTAAAGGAGCGTACCTTAACGATCCTACTTTGAAAAAGTTCGTGCACAAACCTGAATTTGATCCACCAGTCGCTCTTGCTACAGAAAAATCTAGTGATCTAGGTATCAGCCTTTATTAATACAGTTAGTTAATGTTTGCATTCATGGTGCGTTATCCAAATCCAACCTGAACTCGCCTGCCCCCAGAGTTGCAAAAAAGCTACGGGTATGCGGGTATACCATCCGGTGGGAAGATTTACTACATGAGGAAGGTTAATTAAAGAGGGATTTACTTAGTATTTTTGTGCTGGTAACTATTGTGATATTTATCAAATGCATGACTAGGATATTGGAAGAAACAGTGAAAACTGTCCGATATTCTGTAAAATATACAGGGTCGTACAGGTATTTAGCATTTTCTAACGCCGGAACAAAATGTTAATAAACGATGCTAATGGAAGTACGTCAGTTGTCACCGGGCGATAACTAAACTATATGCCTTTCCAATTTTCCGGCATTTCCATATGATCAACCAGACTACAGTAATTAACGCTAAACACCAGTCAGTAGCAATATGACAAAGCATATAAAGTCGATGACAAGATGAAATTATTAGTATATGTTCTATTAAAATTTCAAAAGTCAAAATTCACAATGTTTTGAGGAAGGTTATGAAAACTCGATATCCTACCCAGTGGAAGGTTAAAGGCTTTTTGCAACTCTGTCCCGCTCAATATTTCGCGAAGTGTCCGCCAAACTCTACTTACATGTGTTGTTAACAGCTAAACGTAGCTCTTTCCTTCGATTGTGTTTTAAAAATTAAACAAGATTGCTTACATTCCACACCTGCAATAAGTCTTTGTTTGCAATGATATAATTTTGAGATTTCAGTTGACGGGCAGGTATAAGAGAAACTGGCTATTTTAATGTATTGATCGAGTTTAGAGACAGTTTAAGACTCAAAAGGGGAATTACCGTTCAGTTTTTCTCCCTACAGCCATTCATTCGTCCACAAGTTGTTTGATTGCCTGTCATTTGGATGAAATGTCACGTGATCGTAAACAATGAATTCACTAATCTATAATTATATGTTTTTAGGCGTACGGTTTGTTGATTTAAACGGTGACGAGAAAGCTGACTTGGTTTACGGCAGATTGACCAATAAAGATGAACGCGTGAAAGGCGCGTATATAAATACAGGCAGTGGCTGGAAGTTATCTCCTGAGTATATCCCACCGCGCCTTATCGTTTCCGATGACGATGGGGATTTGGGTGTCAGATTTGTCGAGCTTAATGGTGATGGGATGGTTGATTTCGTGTTTTACCGGTATATCAGTGAGAAGAATCAGCCAAAAGGTGCCTTCATTAATACAGGTATGTGAGATCAAAAGTGCCACGACTGATTTATTAATTATTTATTAACCATCACACTATTCTTGACGAGGAATGGTTGTTTACGTGATCTTCGTATGTGAATTTGACAATGCAGTGTATGCGAAAAATGTGTCAGAATGGAAACGTAGGAATTAGAATCCAATAATGAGGAATTTAGCCTCCAAGCTAGTGGCATACATTTGTCTTTGTTAAGAACTATTAGTCTTTACAATTAGGATAAAAATGTTAGAAGTTTGTTGCCATCTAAAGTCTAAACCTCATTATGTTGCGCTCGAGAATATCAAGTAAACGCAAGGCCTTTTAACAATATAACAGGGGAAAAGCCCCAGTCAGGGCCCATGGTCCCCTCCATCTCATCAAGGTCCCTTTTCTCTAAAATATAATCGAAACATTGGAAGAAAAACGGAATTTAAAAGTGGGGGTTGATATTCTAGTAACTGAAGTATCTTTTTCTTGAAATGATTCAATGTCTTTTTAAAAATATTAAACATTGTGTTGTAAATACCTTAGATTTTAAAAATTTCCCTTTGGATAGCATATTCCAGACCCTATAGATTTGAGTTGTTGGAACGCTAGGCTAAACAAATTAGTGACCGAGTTGTGATATTCACATGCAAAGACATACCATGCAAGTGCTGTATTTCTAAAAATCTGTTTCAGAAAACGCACGAAATGCAGTCCTATATAGGGGCGGGAATATACGAAAAATGTGGTGGGCCCCAGAACCCCCTACTATTACATACGGTTCGGAAGACAACCCCCCCCCCCCCTCCCAACTGACGATTTCTTAAACACATGCAGGCAAAACCTTTATATTATTTTGCTAATGCATGAAAACTGTTAACGATCCAATGAAATCAAAGCACGCCGAACTTCAGAACGTTATAAGAAATATTCACTGGAAAAAAATTTAATCATATCAAAGTTTTCTGTAATAAGGCGCTGGCTTTTTGGCAGGTTAGTAGTATAGCTAGTTTCATCTATTTCGATGAGTTTTACCCCTGTAGAAGAATACAGTCGAATGGCCGGTGCTCGTCATAAATTGATTTTGAGTTTAACAGATCTAGACAGCACTTCATCGCGATTGGTTCATCCGTTATTAGTGAGCTTAAGCAAGCGACGTTTTTACCAACACGAACGTTAACCAGAAGCTCATGAGGGCCGGATGCCGGCGCTAAGGGGGCAGCATTTCCAAAGTCGTGCGTTTTCACGTGAATAGAAATTGAGAACTGTTTTCAAGCAATTTAACTCAAATTTGAATCTGAAATTCCTGTTGTAGAGACGTTCCAAAGAAAACTGAAAATTCGCGTCGTGTTGCCAAATTACGTCCGATCTGTATGGGCCTTTAAAGCTGTATATTGAAAAACATAATTTGAAAACACACTCCAAACTATAAAAACATCCAATTTCTCATAGTTCCTAAAAATTAATAAAGAGCTTTCTTGTTTGTACAGGGAATGGTTGGAAAGCTGCACCGCAATTTACACCACCATATCCTATAGCGTCTGATTATGATCATGATAACGATTATGATTATGATTACGATTATGAAGATCAAAGCGTAAGATTTGTAGACCTGAACGGAGATGGCCGAATGGACATTGTATATCGTCAATGGATAAGTTCAGATCGCGTAGAAAAAGGCGCATATATCAATGATGGTCACACATGGGTGTGGTCACCACAATTTATACCACCCATTCACACTGATAACAAGGGAGCTAAATTCGTAGACCTCAATGCTGATGGGAAAGTTGATTTGGTATATCATACAAGGATCTCGTCAAAGGTATGCCACTCTTTAAGAGACCGGTCATTATATATAGCGGGGGGAGACACCGAAGAGTAAAAGGTTGGGTAAATGAAAAACAAAACAACTCAAGGGTTGGGTAATAAAAATTTATTGTCATTTTCAAAGTATGACTTGCACAAATATTGAAAACTAAAAAAGCATCGTCAACAGTCATATGTCAATACAATTTGTAAATCAATCAGAGTCACTATCTTGATCATTTTCCAAGGCAATCGTGTCTCCAAAAAAGTACATGAGCAGACAACACGAAACTTTAAACTACAAAGCGATAAAGGACTTTAAACTTAGATTGCAAACAGTTATAAAACTCATGTCACAGAAGAGGTAAAGCCGGATATGTGAGACAACTGAAGGTTTCCTTTACGCTTTGGCCAGGGGTGGGTATTTATTTTCCAATTGATATCTGAGGTTAGGTAAGAAATTTTTAACTTTTTAATGGTTAGATGAGCAACATTTTTATCAAGAAAAACATTTCTCCATAAATAATGACCCGTCCCAAATTTTTTTAGAAATTACTAGCAATAGATTGATATTATACCCATGCATATATAGATGAAGAAAGAATCGGGATTTTCCAAATGTAACAGATGCTATTAGTATGGTGGTTGTGATTTCATACTTTCGCGCAGGAAATATGGGATCTGCGCCACTACTGTAGGAATGGTATTTGCATCAGCAATTTTGCTGTCTTGATTGAGATTTTGTTAATTAACCAGCTTCTCGTGTGACTTGGACGCAGACAAATAATTGACTGGGAAAATAGGATTTACGCATCGCCTACTCCCCACTATTATTATTTCTGCGAACATAATTATGGTATTTGCATATCACTCCTCGAAATAAACAGTCGTTTCAAATTGAGAGCGGTGTGGTTATTAAGGATTTTATAAAGAAATAAAGATATATTTGTGATGGTCACGTCTTACATCAAGAGGTTTCCAAGACAGTAGATGAAGGGCCTCAGCAGGTCTGATTTCATGATTGGCCCCATATAGGTGACCTAGCTGCCTTAATGTTTAAGGCTAACTTCGGAATTATTTTATAGTTATTTTAAGTTGGTCATACACGGGCTTTAAAGCCAATTCTGTTTGACGACAACAATAACATTAAATCAGGTTATCCAATAAAATTAAACATCCGAAACTCGGCTTACTGTAGCTGGTTTAACTCAACAGTAAATCGTCACACGCTAACCGCATTGGCTACCTGTTTTATTCAGAAATCGAGAAAAGGTGCGTATATGAACAATGGATATCGCTGGATTTGGAAATCACAATACACTCCACCATTTCCCATTGCTGATGAGAAAAATGGCGATTATGGCGCAAGATTCGCTGATGTCAACGGGGATGGTTTACCAGACATGGTTTGGAACAGACCAGGAGACAAAGGAGGTGCTATCAATACTGGCTGCGAATGGAAGCTTGATGATGCATTCTCCCCTCCTTATAGCATAGCAAGTTCAAAAGGAAAGGATTTGGGCGCACGATTTGTTGACCTGGATGGTGATGGAGCCGTGGATATGATAAGGAGCTTGGAGCAAAAGAATAAAAGCAAGAAGAAAGGAGCAAAACTTGGTAAGGAGAATCTTATATAGGGGAAACTGATTTAATAATGTTTTTCCCTCACAGTTTTATATACATGCAGTATAGACAAGAATGAAGAAAATATAATCGCATTAGATATTTCTCATAAAGACATGGTAATACTTCAGTTTCCACTTTCCTGTAAATGCGATTTGACATGGAACAATTTTTAGGAACAATTTTGCAATTGTAACCGTTGCCGAGCCAATCAAATTTCATGTATAACATTATTTGCACTGCGAATAATTATTGTCAGATATGTCATACACAGGGAAATATAATCAATATTCGTCAGTCAATCTTAATTCCCTGGGGGGGGGGGGGTAGGATATTCATTCCAATTTTGGTTTCAAATTTATTTTTTCCTACTCAGGTACTCTTAATGTTCATATTCCCCTACCATCATAATAACATTCATATTCACACTACTTCAATCGCTGAATAGTGTAAAATCTAATGTTATTTCTTCCAGCTTGTGTATCTGCTGGTAACGGCAACGTTGGCGTATGAGTGGGATGATAGTTTTGTGTAATTGATTTGTTCATGGTAAGTTTTTCAAGGACGACCAAAATTGCCCGGGTTCGAAAGACGAGTGCAATCTAAATTGAACCAGAAAGTACGACCAATTAGGCCTAATTTGCATTTTTGGCACTGCATGTATTTCGATAAATTGCACTCTTCTTAGCCAATCAGAATTAAGTAATTTTTTAAAGTAAATTTTTAAGATTTTAGTTTAAATAGTAGAAGTGATTATGTAACTATAGTGAAAGGAAATTTTATGCACGAAAACTTGTGCTCGTAAATAATTTTGGGGAATATCAGGGGGAGTCTTTCGCAAACAATGAACCGTTTCCATTCTGCAAAATTGTTTAAAATTAAGATTTTAAAATGAATATAATGAAGTTGCAATTACACTTCGTGTCGTGCAATTATTTTGTTCTGAAATCAAACTTGTGATTACAAATCGCACTCGCACTTCGCGGTGGTGCGACTTTGTAATCACGTGTTTGATGTCAGACCAAATTTCACTCCACGCATTTACCATTATTCATCACATGTGTCTTTACTCGTTTATCAGGGCGTTAACAGGGTGAAATAAAAACGATATGTCACTGATATAGCTTTCGGTCCCGCTATTTTAGTAATTGTTGCATAGGGGCAGTGGTTAATATTCAATTTCCTTTTGCGCAATTTCTTCTTCGGTGCCTGGGTAGGAGGTTGCCTCATTTAATTCCCCAGCCAAACTTTTGTCCTAATCTTTACCACAGACCCATTGATTTACATTTTACAAATCAAATCCAGGCACCCTTTTAATTAAACTGTCTTCTTAAATGTGTTAAAATCATTGTTAAAATTTCAAACCATTTCTCTATTTAGGATGCACCAACAATCTTAGACGTGATACAGTGTGCTGCATATAGATCCCAAGGGAATCTCCTTGATTCAAAGACGATTTTAAAGTATAGTTTAGTTATATAGTACATACAGTATAATATCTCTGCCAGCAGATTTCTTAAAAACTAGAACAACTGTACACCATTTTATTTTTTATTTTTATTCTAAAAGTGTGTCCTAAGATTCATATTAATCTTGTGCCAATTACTTAGGCCGCGTTTACACTATGACGCTACGGCTAACACTCTAGTATTACGGACTATATTGTGTTTACACTATAACGGAGCTGTTTGCCGTAGCGTCCTAACTACGGAATTATGTTGTGTTTACACTATAACGGAGTGGTTTGCCGTAGCGTACTAACTGCGGAAATCAATTCCGTTAAAAATTCACTACGTTTCTTAGTATTGTGTTTACACTACAACGGAGTGGTTTGCCGTAGCGTATTAACTACAGACCACTACGTTTGGCACTCCAGATGCAAATCACTACGCTACCGTAAATTTGCCGTAGCGTCATAGTGTATAAATGCGGCCTAATATGTGACGGAAGTGGTGATTGATGTGTATTATATAATGTGTTATTTTTAAATTTGTGGAAAGAAATGTTTAGAAAAAATAGTTTTTCATCAATAGTATATGAACGAATTTTTCAATTTTTCATTTCGCAATCGAATTTTTTCTACACCTCTATTTAACTACAATTCCATGGAACATAATCATGACTTGGCCAAACTTTTACACTAAAGTCCAAGCATGACAAGTAATTAATTGTCTATGAGCGAATAGTCAACGAAGGCGTAGTCCGAAATTTACTTCTTCTAAATTTCAGGCTGCGAGTAGGCTACGAAAATGCAGCTCAAAGACGTCAAAGAACATTCAATTTTTTGACAAATTTACGCCAAAACTAGACGGTGCGTTTAATTCCAAAAAGCAAACTCAAATATATGAGGCTAATATATAGCTGATAACAAAAGGCGGCCGAAATGTAGAGACTTCCAATGTATGTAATGATAGAACAGAAGATCAACCTTTAGTGATCCAAATAATTAACAGAACGTTGCTTCCCTTTTGGAATTTGCATGCATAAGTGCTAAAAATATATTTTGAAAGCTAAATCTTCGAATTGCCTCATGTGTCATGGTCAAGTTTCTGAAAGACACATCAAAATTGTGTTGGAACTATATCTTTCAAATTCCATAGCAAAAGTCATTGCCGCCGGGATAATTAATCGATTTTTATTGTGTGAAAATCTTGGCTTCAAAAGCCACTTTAACAATACGGACGTCAGATTGCCGAGGGGGGATGGATTAGGAACTGTGATTGTGTCAGTTTGTAGTAATCTTCAACACATTTAATTACAAACCATGGCAATTTTTTTACTTCCTTTCATGAACGCTATGATGTAAAATGCATGAGCTAACTGGTATAATAATTTTCGGCGCACAATTTTCGGTGTTGACAAAAATCTCGCTTGTTTAATTAGTAAATATGTCGTATATGTAGTAAATGTTTTTTGAATTTAGAAGCGCTGCCAAGCAAGATCATTTAAGATGCCGACAACGAACAACGGGTATACGGAATACGGTTGAAAGCTAATGTAACTGAGGCAAACAAAATTTACATATCCCCAGAGCGTACTTGTAGGAGTCGCGTTTGGAAAATTGAAACTTTGTGCGTTATAGTTTCGGGTGATAAAAATGCACTTTTCAACAAGAAATCGTGAAAGGACCTGTTCTAAATTCGTATTCATCATGACACGACTTCCTGCTGTACTGAACTCATCAATAATAAGTGTTGCGGTATATTTCAAGCGAGAAGTTGGATCATATTTCACTTGCAAGGAAAGGACTAGAGTTTGACTAATGGTCGCGGGTAAAAAGTCGCGTGTCGCGGGTAGAATGTCGCGGGTCGCGGGTAAAATGTCGCGGGTAAAAAGTCGCGGGTCGTAAAAAAGCTCCAAACCGTGTATTTTATTGAGTCGTGGGTTGAATAAAGTGCGTAAAAATCACGTTATCGTTTAGTAAACAACTATATAGGACTGCTTCAATACAAAATATTGCCCAAGAGCCTTTTGTCATGATTTAATAAGTTTGACTATGGTCGCGTGTCGCGGATAAAAAGTCGCGTGTCGCGGGTAGAATGTCGCGGGTAAAAAGTCGTGGGTCGTAAAAGAGCTCAAAACTGTGTATTTTATTGAGTCGCGGGTTGAAAAAAGTGTGTAGAATCACGTTATCATTTAGTAAACAACTATATAGGATTGCTTCAATACGAAATATTGCCCAAGAGCCTTTTGTCATGATTTAATGGCTCTATATAAACATGCCAGAAGCCTAAAACTTGAAAGAATAATTTCAATATGTTAAACCAACAATTGTACCATGACAAAAATCCTCTAATAAAAAAATATGTTCTGAAAGAAACAAACAAGACTTTGGTAGAAATAAATTCAGTTTACCACTACTATTACAATCAGTTTTATACCAATTTAAAAACAACCGTATAGTATCACAAATAATAGATATATCCATGCTAGGACATTATAAAAGTACATTATGATTCACCAACAACCTGGATATTTAAGTCGCTGTTCTCTAGCACTTGTTTCTGGAAAGTACTGATCGATGCGCAGAGGCTTGACGACAACGCGCACTGAGCCACTGAATAGCGGATTGTTACGCCTGATATGGTAGAAATTGGATGGTAATATGTATTACTAAAATCAGGACTACAACATAGGAATGTGTAACAGGATTCTTTTGCATTACTGTCTATCAACGTGCTTTACAATAATGTTATGGTTCTTGTCTATATTTATCTAGAAACTCGCAATTACAGCCAAAACATCTTCAAACAACTATTGATAAAAAACATTAAAGGGTAATGGCAATAAAATTTTTTATTGCTTTATCTGAAAGAGCAGGAAAAAATAAGCCGATTGGTCGTTTACTGCTCTATTCTATCTCATCTGGTTCCAAAGTTATACGCAAAAATGTACAAAATATAAATTGCTGATTCGACACAACGTGTGACGTCCTATCTGTATGCAACATGTCATTTGATTTGAGCCAATAATAACTGAGCTATGCTTCAGTTTACTATTCATTAAACATACTTACCCTACCAATGACGTCACACGTTGTGCTGAATCAGCAATTTATATTTTGTACATTTTTGCGTATAACTTCGGAACCAGATGAGATAGAATAGAGCAGTAATCGGCCAATCGGCTTATTTTTTCATGCTCTTTCAGATAAAGCAATAAAATTTTTTATTGCCATTACCCTTTAAATAACTAAATGTTAAAGGTGATCTACAGTCCGATCTGCGCATGTGCACAAAGGAGCCCACTTTTTATGATACAAACAGTTTAATTATGTTTTGGGTTCTTGAAAAGCCTGATTATTGTTTCTTGATAATTTATTTTACTCTAGAAGCTTGAAAATATAAATAGTTGTCGAATAAAGCTCAATATTTTGGACACAAAAATGTAAACAAAGGCTTTGTTTACATACGGACTGTAGAGCACCTTTAATGTGATTTTTACACACTTTATTCAACCCGCGACTCAATAAAATACACGGTTTAGAGCTTTTTTACGACCCGCGACTTTTTACCCGCGACACGCGACTTTTTACCCGCGACACGCGACCCGCGACCATTAGTCAAACTCAAAGGACTATACACGCGCGGCGCCTGGCTTGCGAAGTTGAACACGCATCGCCGTAGAAACATACATGTTTTCTACATGTTTATAGTAGAAGTGTATCCTGTCTGATATTCAAAACAAACCATTTATTTTGTAACGGGATCCTTTGATTTCCCAGAGATCGCCAACTGTGTGTAAACAATGCTACCCTAAAACCTGTTTTCCACTAGGCGGAATTTTGCGCGCGCGCGGAGCGGAAATTTTCTTTGTCTTGTGATTTCTCGGGTGGAACTAATTAGAAAAGACAAAGAAAAATTCCGCTCAGCGCGCAAAATTCCGCCTAGTGGAAAGCAAGCTTAATTGTGTGTAAACAATTATGCTATCCTGACTGCATGTGAAAGCACTGGATTAAAACCCGTTATAGACTGTAACATTCCCTGCATTTACATTTCTCAAACTCAGCGATGAAGAATGATTATGTCGAAGATAATACTAAAGCTATCTGTTATCACACGAACGCCAAATATACTCCTCCGTGCGTGTGGTACAACTTGGATATTTAGGACGAAACATGCGACCAGACACTGGTATTGTACTTTATAGTAAATTTACTAAATTATTTCATATTTCATGTATTAGAGTATTTTACAGCAGGTACATTAAAGATCGTTTAAAGACCTTTCATTGCCATTGCCATTGCCCCATTGCCCCGCTTAAAATCCAGCTTCTTTCGACGACTTGTATCATGACACTGTGGCCGGTGTCCCAGGAAATTTGCCCCCCCCCCAGGCCATATTTCCTAGGAAATTTGCCCAAAATTAAATGAGTGATTACTTCGTAAAAAACCTTTTCCTATGCATATTTACACATACACAGTATATACAGGGTGCATAAAAAAGAGGAGACTTTAGAAATCAAGCATATTGTTAAAATTTGAATGCTTTTGCAATTGCACATATGCTGAACCGTGGTGCGTGAAATATTGATGGAGTGCATATATTACAAAAAGGAGACCTTTAGAAATCAACCATTGTTATCATTTAAATCCTGGAGAACTTTGCTAAGCCTACGAGTGCGTTAGGCCCCGTTTACATGAGACCGGGGCGAAGTCAAACCGGAATGAAAATTGAAATTGCCAACATGTTTACATGAGACCGGTACGAGGATCACAAAATCTTCAATTTATTCCCCTTGCCAGGCAATTTTCTTTTTCAGGTGGCTTTTACTAGCATGTGTTGTTCCAGTGTCAAGATTACAGCCGAGACTGGTCTGAAATGTACTTGTGTTTACATTCATCCCGGTCTGAATTCATGCCGGTCTGACTGAGTCAGTCGGTTCGGTCCAGAAGTCGGAATGACTTGAGACCGGTCTGAGTTATTTTCGTCCCGGTCTCATGTAAACATCTATTATAGATAATACTATGACCGAAACGAGATGGTCCCGGTTTGACTTCGTTCCGGTCTCATGTAAACGGGGCCTTAGATGCGATCTACGTACAGTATGCATGGCACATTGTTCCCAGGAGTAGACAATCTTTTGTTTAAACGTTATTTCAATTTCTAAAGGTCTCCTTTTTCTAATATATGCAATTCACGCACTACGGTTCAGCATATGTGCAATTGAAAAGGCATTCAAATTTTAACAATATGCTTGATTTCTAAAGGTCTCCTTTTTTATACACCCTGTATAATCGCTCATATGTTGGAATGCGTTATAGAAGCATTCCGTAAAAACGAAAGTAGACTGCATGCTTCATGGCTCACAATAACATTCCGCACACGGCACAAAAACACAAATGTTTGCAATTGAATGACGTTCCGTTTCCTTAGCTTAATGATACAGCCATTATTTATTAACGTTGTCTTCTACAAAGCTGGTCAAAACCAAACGCGAAAAGTACGCTAAACTTTAGCTCTTGGCCTAATTCTCGTCAGTATTAATCTTTAATCTTTAA